GGTGTTTTGGTGCCTCATGAACTCTCTGATGATCATCGTTTCTAATGTGTGAACGTTGCTTTGTCTCTTCTGTTGCGTAATACGCGTGAACCATTTCTGGACAGAATTGTCACCGGTGATGAAAAATTGATTCTCTATGCAAATATTAAACGCCAAAGACAATGGCTCAGCCCTAGACAAAAACCACTTCCGACCCCCAAAACCTTGACTCCATCCGCAGAATGTGATGCTTTGCATTTGGTAGGACATCAAAGGAGTAATTCATTTCAAACTCCTCAATCCACAGCGAACTGTCAATGCAGAAATATATAGTCAACATCTGGAATGTTTAAATCAAGCCCTTCATCAGAAATGCTCTTCACTCGTCAATCGGAAAGGTGTTCTTCTTCTCCACAACAATACACGTCCATATGTGGTACGTTTGGTGCAACACAAGATTATGGAGTTGGGTTAGGAAGTTCTCCCCCACCCACCATAATCTCCAGATATGACACCATCAGATTACTATCTTTTTCATTCACCGCAACACCATCTTAATGGGAAAACGTATGCAAGTGTGGAAGGTGTTAAAGAGGACATCGACATGTTTTTTGCTTCAAAGCCAAGTGATTTCTTGAGGACCTGATAGTAACACTCGGGCAAAAATAAATATTAATTTTCTTTAGACATTTAAAGTTAAGTAATATTCTCACCTGCCTGAAGACTTCTTCTGTTCTTTAACTGGCTGGGTTTGAGTAAATGTTCACCATTCTCCTGGTTATAAATGCTAGCGTACAAATCACTCTCATCACTAGGACTCAGAGGAGGATCCTCTAAGTACATGGTAGAAGAGACCGTTTCATCGTCAAGACCATGGCTGCTGTCTGTTGGTAACTGTTCATATAAACCTTCAGAATCCACCCTAAAGCATCAAAGAATGGTGATTATCAATGTTCGGAGGAATAGAATCTAATATGTTATTTACTAGTCACAACCTGCAAAACATTTTCACTAATTTTCATGCCCTTCATTTGAATTTTTCTATCAATTTTACACATGCCATTTAAGCTATGCTTTCTTGCTGGCATTGTGTATTAGATTGATAAATCCTGCTCTATTTGAAAACATTTTACTCGGTCAGACAAACAAACTCACATAACTTTATTTAATAAAACTACACTTCAAGTAAACAATAAAGTAATGGTATATAATAGTGTACAGAGTAAGAAACAGTTATGAACATTCAGTGTACGACACGGTTTTACGAGTTGAAACAAAAACTTGTACTAAAGTAAAGTAAATGTAAAGTTGTAATGAAGGCAAACTTAGCTGAATATGCAGAAACATCTGAATGCATGTTCACATAGTGTTAATCATAAGGTTTTAAATGAACTGTGCATTTTAGACAAAGGCCTTTATAACAATATGAGATTTGTAGCATTTGAACAAGAAATTTGCAAGAAAAGTACTGGACAGACAAATGCAAGCATATTATTTATATATATATTATAAGTAATGAAGGTTACATTAAGGTATTTTAGATAATGTTAAATAAAATACAGTTCAAATCAATAACTAGTAATTTTTTAATTTAAACACAATAATTTGGATAAACGACATACCAGAAAAGAAAAAAAATATATAAAAAATGTTTTGTAGAATTAAAACCTCTCTTACAATAACTTAAAAGTTGTATTATTACAAAAATAACACATAACCATGATACTTAAAATCATCCAGCAAAAAATGTTCACCATGAGCTGAAAAAAAAAAAAAAAGACTTAAAACTTAACTTAGCCCTCCCTTAATCTAATAAATAAATACTCTTGTATTTCATGTACTTATTTAATGTATACTCCTTAAAACACATCGTTTGTTTTCAAAACCTGAAAAATCCAATAATCTTTCTTTTTTCATAAGATACAAATAAAAGTTAAAATGAGCTGATAGTAAAATAAATTACAAACACTTAAGTAATTTTCTTGTGGTAGTCAGGATATCTGACAAGTAGCCAAGAGTTTCTACAAAAGCCTAACACATAACACACCTGTGATATTTACCAATATCCACCAAGTGGTCAAAATCTACCACAGGAACACTGGTAACCAGTAAATAGCCCACAAAACGTAACATGCAATATGTTCAAGTGTTTTTTAGGTACATTTATATCCAAAAGGTATTTGAAAGTTCCAAAATAAACCTAATAGTAGAGATGTCACTGAAGAAAGGTTGGGGGAAAAGTCTGAAGCTTTAAAAAGAAAGAAAGTACACGTTTCGCGACACATCAGAAGTAACTTACTGATGAAACAAGACAAACTTCACGCATGTAATTGTTTGAACCAAAGATGTGTACGTATATATTCTAGGTTATAAAAGATATACAAATGAATATTTTATTTCAAATGTTTCGGTTCGTTCTGTCATTTTCAAGATGTCCTAAATGACCCGCCCCCAGTTTTTTTCTTTTTCCCATTGGATTTACGTTGGTGTGTATCTGTCGACTGGTGGAGAAATGACATCAGTGCACTTAATTATTTTGTGACAGGTAGCAAAAAAACTGCAAGTTCAGGAAATATGTAGATAGTAAATCAAATATGGACAGTAAAGGAAAAAAACAAACAAACAAATGAATAGAATCTTTATTCACAAATAAGTGTCTGTTTATGTACTTTGATTACTAGTCGGCTTTTTATTTCTCACTGCAACTTCTCATTACCTATTGCAATCGGTTAAGCTTTCCAAATACATCCAACACAGGACCAGGGCTGGATAAATAATATTATAGTACACTTTGAAATCAACCAAAGGTTTCCTAGTAAAGTTTTGCCTCAGCCCAGGAAATACACACAGACATAGGGCCAAATTGTTACAAGCTTCAATGAGATAACCCTTGAAATATGTACCTTTTGCCTAACCAAAAGGATTAGTAGACATTTATGACTTTTGAATGAGGATGTCATAGCTACACACACAACACTTGCATTGAAATTTAGGAAAACCACCTGTGCATATCTTACTACAGATATATCTATACTATTTATGGAAAGGTGATATTAACCCTTTCTGCATGAGCATCCTTTACTGAGCATGTCACAAGGTTTTAGTGACTTGCATTAAAAACTTAATTAAACTACTTTTTGTTTATGTTATACCAATTAGCATAGCATAAAAACATAGCTAATAATCCAATAGTATACACGTTTTACATTCTTGATTTTATAAGATGATATTTTAAAGAATCCTGAATTTTCCCTAGTGTGAGAAATGTGACATACTTTCTCTAGGCATCCCCTCTTCTGTAATTTATTCACCACCCCTCCGATAAGTAGTACGAAATATAACGTAAATTACTATTAAATTGTCACTGCTCAGACAAAGCATATTTTTTATAGCTTTCAATCTTGTTTGGTTATAGAGCCATCAAATAGAAAATCAGACCCCTCTTACCAGAACCACCTGTCACATCCACTCTTTCAGGATTTGCTAATAGTTCTCTCTTACATTTAATATTATATTATTTATAACCAATAAAAAACCAAGATGTTGTTTTCTGTAAAGAGAATTGTTAATTTCTCTTTCAGTACATGCTTTATTCGCATGGGAAAGACATCAACTAGTGTGGATGAATTTGTAATGGCTCTGTCAGATAGTTAAAAAGACAGGAAAATTGTGATTCCTGTGGGACATTGTCCACTTTTTTGCATGTTATTATTCTGTTGTTTTTTTTTGTGCATTATTTAATTAAATAAAAATTATTTAGTGCACCACTAGAATTAGTATAAAAAAATGGAGTTAAGTATCACGTTTCTACAAGGTTTTGTCATCATGTTAAACTTATATTAAAGTTTTTCTTCATTACCCATTCAAGCCATCTCCAACCATTATTAGTCTCAAAGTGGGTTCCTCATCATCGAATTGGAGTTAAGTATCATCGACAAAAAATAAAATAAAAAGGTCCAGGTATGGACTTTATTTCTTGTTTTTCATGTGTATTCTTTATTCGTTATTATAAAAGTAACTAAAATGTAAAAATAGGAATCTCTTTAGGTTAGTTAAGGTTAGATTATGTAAAATAAATAATAGTATAATAAAAATGTTCCAGGAGGCATGCATGCAAGCAGCTTGTGGGTAATGTAATTTGATAGCGTAAGGTGAGCTCCAAGGTTCAAAGGGCAATAAAACACTGAAATTTTAGTATAAATAGTAGTATATTGTTATGAGTTTAAAGCTACTTAAGATAAATAAATGTAGTTCATGTTAGAATTTGAAATCATTCTAGAAAGAAAAAAAGGGTAATTTAGGTTTATTTCGATTTCTTTCTTTTGGTGGTTACAAGGTCGGTCAAATTGACCAACCTTGTATAGAATTAAGGTGGAGAAAATATCAGATAAAATATATAACATATAAAATATAAACATTTGAAATGTATTTAGGAGGTTGTAGAAATTATGCAAATAAAATTTGAGATTTCTGGGAGAAGGAATAGTATTTTTAATCAGAACATGAAAATCACTTTGCACTCGGACTAGTAATGAAACAGATTCAATATATTCACAAACAAATCTTTAGTAAAAATACTTCATTAAAAAATCTGATTTTTTTTATGTACAAAAGACTTGTAATGTTTCCAAAAAGTCTACTAAATTACATGAGGTATTCATGAGTATTAAAATTTATGGTATAAATAGTTAACAAGTGAAAATGTGTATATAGACTCGGTATTTTATATTGATGCCCACTACAAAATGGTCAATGGTTACTTCAATTGTAACACTCTGAAAATTATCTTACCCATCTTCCAGCAAACCACTTCGTATATGATACGACTCTTGCCGAGAAGGGACGGGAGGTGGTACATGTGGGAGATTTTCGAGGGAGTAATCTGAATCATCCATGCTGAAAGCTTTTTCTATATGAGGCTTCCTTTCTGACACCTCTTTAAAAAATGGTGTGTAGAATGCAGCTTTAAAGAGAAAGAAAAATAAAAACCTTCTATAATGCTACATCGAATGTTTTCTGATCTTTAATGCGTAATATAATTTATTAATCTAAATGACTTATTTAAATTTTAATATATCTATTAAAGATATAATTCCTGTAAAATTTTCATTTGAAAATACTGAGAAAAATTCCTCACATTTGGTATTTATACTAAAATAAATTACTGATTTATCTAAGAAAACATACCAAGATTTTATAAAAACTGTACACCAAATTAAATATTAATATTAAAATAAATTCCACAATTTTCAACAGAAAACAGTTGTAATTATCAATATATCTGGTAAAAACTGAACTACAGAAATGAAAGCTAAAATATCATGATATACTTCAGTCAAAATCTGACTGTACAGTTTACAAGCATAACAAAAACAGTTACAATATTAAGATATATCTCCGTTTAAACCCAATACAATATCATAAACGTAAATGAAACGGCATTAAAAATAGAAGTTGGTATGAATCTCAACTTACTTTTCTGTTGACAGGTGGATATCGAGGTCATGAAATGAGCCTGTAATTTATCAGCTAAAGCATTCCCTTCTGTTATTAGTTGGTGCGATAAATCACTAGAAAAAAAAGCATTTGCACTACCCGTCTCTGTAACAGCCAAAATCTGGATTGGGATGTTTGGAATGTTCATTGAAAAAGCACTGTAGGGAAAAACAAGTTGAAGACTCGGTTATTCATTTACTCAACTAAATAAACTATTATCTACTGTTTTACATCAACTATCCTCAAAAGATGGTAGTGACAAACTAAACAAAACATAACTGTAGTTTTACAAAGAAAGTTGAACTAATTACTATTATAAGTACTTAAATGGTTTTTCTACTCCTGAAGTTTAATAAATTCTGTCATGCAGTGTTTAAGTAACTGTGAATTTTAACTGGTTAGTAGTAGTCTAGCAAACTGCAGGAATATCATTGTAAAATTAGCTATCGAGACCAAGCCTGAGACCTCTTGCATGCCAGAATGTTCTATCTACTGAGCTAAAGGGTTCAAGCCTGAGACCTCTTGCATGCCAGTGTTCTATCTACTGAGCTAAAGGGTTCAAGCCTGAGACCTCTTGCACGCCAGTGTTCTATCTTCTGAGCTAAAGGGTTCAAGCCTGAGACCTCTTGCACGCCAGAGTGTTCTATCTTCTGAGCTAAAGGGTTCAAGCCTGAGACCTCTTGCATCCCAGAGTGTTCTATCTACTGAGCTAAAGTGTTAATCTACTAGCAATTTCTAGTAAGGTACTTTTTAACAAGTCAAATTACCACATCCTTCTCTCCTCACAAATAAGGTCTGTCCTTGGGGCCGTATCTCGAGTTGTGTACCAGTTTTTCTGTGATAATCAAAATTTTTTTAATTTGTCGGGTCAAAGTTGAACTCTGCACTTTCCACACATCAAGAAAGTACTCTAACAACCAAGCTAAAGACAAAAGTGAAAAAATTTTTAATTAAAAAATTAAGAAGTTGGGAACATCAAAAAGTAAGGAAACAAGGTAGGAATGGGAGGGATAACATTATAACACTAGGTGGTTTTTGACAAGGTGCAACCTCAAAGTGTGTTTGTGGCCATTGTTCCACCCATTCCTACTTTGTGTATTTTTGTAACTTGGTAATTGTTCAAACTAAATGAAGGGTGTATATAGATAAATTTCTCTGTTGCAAACTTAGTTTAAGCAACCAAGTACAGATACATGTATGTAATCAAATTATGTGACCCTAATAAAATGCATGACATCATTAGGAGGGTGTTTTATATCAGAAGTGAACAGGAAGCTCCAATAGTCATACTTTGCTTATGGGAGACATTATAGCTATCTGACTGGTAAAGAGTGGGCCAAAAAATAGTTTCAAAACCTCTGATTTTTGAAATGTTTAAATTTGTTGGGTATTTAAAAAGGATTAGCTACTGATAAAACTCAGTTCAGCTCCACAACTGGATCAAAGTTCAAAGTATAACACAAAGTAAGAATGGGCAGAACAATGGCCACACCTATTTTGAGGTTGCACCGTGTCAAAAACCACCTAGTGTTGTAATGTTATCCTTCCCATTCCTACCGTGTTTTCTTACTTTTTGGCTTTCCCAATTACCTAACTTTTTTTATTTAAACATTTTTTACACTTGTTTAATAGCTTTTCTTAGTGCTTAGTCTTGAGAGTGACTGCTCTTTAGGCCTATCTTTCTTGTCATTTTTCTTAGAGCCATCTCTCAACATTTCCTGGCTTTCGCCAATATATTTACTAGAGGTTTTCTTCCATCTAGCCAGGGTGGAAGCCTTTTCTTATCCTCAAAGTGCTGTCTTGGATAAAAATCCACCCACTTTCCTCTCTCAAAGTGCTATTTCGGATAACAATCCACCCACTTTCCTACCTCAAAGTGCTATTTCGGATAACAATCCACCCACTTTCCTACCTCAAAGTGCTATTTCGGATAAAAATCCACCCACTTTCCTACCTCAAAGTGCTATTTCGGATAACAATCCACCCACTTTCCTACCTCAAAGTGCTATTTCGGATAACAATACACCCACTTTCTTACCTCAAAGTGCTGAGTGAAGCTTTCCTTTTAGTGGAGTACACCAGAATAAACCCATGAACAAGTTCTTCTTTGAAAGAAGTAGCCCCATGGTAGGAGGTGACCCGCACCTCCACGCTGCGTTTGAAGTCTCCCAGATAAGTTTCTAATGTAATGGTGTAGGGGGAAGTGACAAAACAACAATGGTGACTGAGTAGTGGGCCCAGAACATGTTCAACACTATACGGGTCTCCACAAAGCATGCACATGATGATCCTGAATAAAAAAAACAATGGATATCCACAAATTATACATACAATGATATGAGAAGATGTCACTCATCATAATGCCAGTTAAAACTAACTAAAGAAAGATATAAAAAAATGTCATTCATTATAATACTAGTTAAAATTAACTGGCTAATAACAAGTCAACTCCAGTATCTGACTATTAATAAAAATAGAAACAATAAAATAAATATCTGAGTGTTAACTTTATATATTAATCTACAACACTCATGTTTTCTGATTTGAATTAGGAAGAAAAAGGTATCAAAAATAGATGTGGGTGAAGTTTAACATTCACCAACAGAGAATGACTCCACACCAATCTAACACGCATGATAAGAATACCTCCTAGTTACAAGCTGTGACTACATTCGTGATGATACGATAGCTTGTTTTCTACATCTCAACCACAGAATATTTCAGGAAATCTTTGTTTCTAAGATCCAGAAGACAATTACCAGCAAATTATCATAACTGAATTTCGGTTACAGCACATTCAATTAGTGATTTATGAGTCAGACAAGATATTTATTCAACATGGACTAGATTACAAAAACTCTTAGTATTGAAAGCAAAGGGGTGAGGCTTTTTAAGATATTTAGAAAAAAATAGTTCTTACTACTAGTGTGTGTGTGACAGTAGAACCTTAATAAAGCTGAAGGATGTTCGTGTGAGAAGTTATTGATTAAACATAGATGGATCATACACGAGCCTTTAAGGAAAAAACCTACCTGATGTCAGGGTTGACAGCCTGTTCTGGAAGTGTGTGATAGATCTGTAGCAAGTCAGCTCGTCGCTGAATGCTTTCTATAAGAGAGTGTAATGCTTTAAGAAGTTTTGGTTCATCAAACCGCTGCTCAGTACCAGAGTCACAGTTACTTACGTCAATAAATGGACACTGCAGACTAAAGGAATATAAAACAGTAAAATTAAGAAACTTGTAATACAAATAATAATCTTAAATAATACAAATAATAATAATATTTTTTAAATTATATTAATAATAATTTCCTTAAAATAGATTCCTAGTATTTTAGTTCAACTTAGGTCATGATGGGAAAACAAAATATGCAGTCTGGCTAACTTTGATTAGATATGACTTTTTGTCAATACACATCAACAAACAACAGCAAGTAAGAAAGTGATACTTGATAGTAACCAACATTAGCTTTAGGATCGCAACCCTATTATTCAACCCTTTACTTTACCGTACCAACCAGATTCTTTAAAATACATGGTGGTAGTTTTTCCTCTCAAAAACAGTGTTAATAACTTCCTTTAGAGTAACTCCATGGAATTAAGATTAACAGTTTCTTGTCATCACCCCATGCAATCGGTACAGCCATATCAAGCACCATTATTTAAGCTAATTGCTTAAGCTGATATCACATGATGCTAAATGCTCTTTAACTATAATAATTTCATAAAATTGAGTAAATTTGTGCTGAAAAGTTTTTTTTTTATGTATCTGCACGTCCTTTTACCTTATGGTTTTGCTGCTCTGAATCAGCCATCTGTAATCTGAATAACAAAAATCTAAAAATGGTCCACTTTTAATTTTAGGTGTAACTGTAGCAAAAATTTTAGACCGATAGCTCACCCGACTTTTTTTTTGTGTTGGCATGCGCAAAATTTTCATCAAAATTGGGCAGTTTCTGTTGAATAATTTTGCACATGTGACTTGTATTTACACCAAATGAGACTCCTAACTGAAGGTTGAAAAGATCTATTAGTGTACCAAATTTGAAAAAAAAAAAATACCATAAAAGTTAAGTATGTGTTTCTATCAAATAAAGTTTCCATACTTTGGTGTGATGAAAAAAAAAAAGAATAAACTCAATCAAAATTGGAGATGTTATATATCAGGTGTTTTTTAATGGATTGCCTTGAAATTTGGTATGTGAAGTAAGAGTCCTGTAGAGCACTTCCATTGATAGTTTGGGTTACCACAGTCCAAGATACATAAGGTAGAAAATTGCTAAACTATCACTCCTGTTAATAACACACAATTTGTCCAGCAGCTTGTTTACAAGGGTGGTTCATTAATGTGTATGCCTGTTTACAAGGGTGGTTCACTAAAGTGTATGCCTGTTTACAAGGGTGGTTCACTAAAGTGTATGCCCGTGTCCGTGGGTGGTTCACTAACGTGTATGCCCGTGTCCGTGGGTGATTCACTAACGTGTATGCCCGTGTCCGTGGGTGGTTCACTAACGTGTATGCCCTTGTCCGTGGGTGGTTCACTAACGTGTATGCCCTTGTCCGTGGGTGGTTCACTAACGTGTATGCCCTTGTCCGTGGGTGGTTCACTAACGTGTATGCCCTTGTCC